AGTGTTTGTCAGACCATGAGACATCCCGAAAATCGGTCTTCTCACAAAATTGTCCGTAGCGTCCAAACGGTTTGGCCTACAAACTATTACCTTATGAAAAGATGAGAGTCTACGTTTTGCTCTACGACCCACACAAGTGTCTTGGGACTCATCTGAAGTCCTGAAGTCCTGCCAACTTCTGTCTGTAGTGTTCGAACAGTTTGGCTACAGACTAATGTGACCCATCTGTGGAAAGGTGAGACTCTCACGAACACGTACATGTCAGTATTTTTGCTCTCGCCTGGTACCAGTTGAAAAAATGTATGGAAGTACACTACATGACCAGAAGTATGTGGACACCATTTCAAAATAGTGGATTTGGCTATTTCAGCCACACCCGTTGCTGACAGGTGTATAAAATCGAGCACACAGCCACGCAATCTCCAGAGACAAACATTGGCAGTAGAATGGCCCGTACAGAAGAGCTCAGTGACTTTCAACATGGCACAATCATAGGATGCCACCTTTCCAACAAGTCAGTTAGTCATATTTCTGCCCTGCTAGAGCTGCCCCGGGCAAACTGTAAGTGCTGTTATTGTGAAGTGGAAACGTCTAGGAGCAACAACGGCTCAGCTGTGAAGTGGTAGGCCACACAAGCTCACAGAACGGGACCGCCATGTGCTGAAGTGCGTAGCGTGTAAAAATAGTCTGTCCTCGGTTGCAACACTCACTACCGAGTTCCAAACTGCCTCTGGAAGCAACGTCAGCACAAGAACTGTTCGTCGGGAGCTTCATGAAATGGGTTTCCATGGCCGAGCAGCCTAAGATCACCATGCGCAATGCCAAGAGTCGGCTGGAGTGGTGGAAAGCTTGCCGCCATTGGACTCTGGAGCAGTGGAAATGCGTTCTCTGGAGTGATGAATCACGCTTCACCATTTGGCAGTCCGACGGACAAATCTGTGTTTCGCAAATGCCAAGAGAACGTTACCTGTCCCAATGCATTGTGCCAACTGTAAAGTTTGGTGGAGGAGGAATAATGGTCTGGGGCTGTTTTTCATGGTTCGGGCTAGGCCCCTTAGTTCCAGTGAAGGGAAATCTTAACGCTACAGCATACAATGGCATTCTAGACGATTCTGTGCTCCCAACTTTGTGTTAACAGTTTGGGGAAGGCCCTTTCCTGTTTCAGCATGACAATGCCCCCGTGCACAAGGCTAGGTCCATACAGAAATGGTTTGTGGAGATCGGTGTGGAAGAACTTAAACTGGCTTGCACCTAGTGGAAAGCCTTCCCAGAAGAGTGGAGGCTGTTATAGATACTTCAAGGGGTATTAAAATTCAAAACAAAATAACTAAATGATCCTTGGTACGACCTTCTTAAAAAACAATTTCATATAGCTTAGTACAACCCCCCACCCCTCCCCCAGATTACACTGTACATGGTTATTAAAGGTTCATGTCTCTGAGCATGTTTTTGTCCAACCTCATGTTTGTGTTTCTCTGAAAATTCACTACAGATGTGGATTACCAAAATTACATCAATTTACTTCGTCGGCGGGCAGGTTAGAACGAAAACAAGAGTAAGTGTGTGTACATGTGAGTTTGTGTGAGATGTTTTTTTTATCTCATAGGCCAAGTCACGCCACAGGAATGACAAACCCTCATTCCTCAGAGGATTCATAGAATTAGAGACAGAGCTGGAGACATCATCTCTCTTCCCTCACTCTCACTCTGTATACACTCAGTGGCCAGTTTATTAGATACACCACCACGTTCATGAAAATGGTGTGCTCCTACAGACAGTGAGTCACGTGGCCGTGGCTTGCGAAAGTATTCACCCCCCTTGGCATTTTTCCTATTTTGTTGCCTTACAACCTGGAAATAAAATGGATTTTTGGGGGGATTGTATCATTTGATTTACACAACATGCCTACCACTTTGAAGATGCAAAATATTTTTTATGTGAAACAAACAAGAAATAAGACAAAAAAACAGAACACTTGGACGTGGATAACTATTCACCCCCCCCAAAGTCAATACTTTGTAGAGCCACCTTTTCAGCAATTACAGCTGCAAGTCTCTTGGGGTATGTCTCTATAAGCTTGGCACATCTAGGCACTGGGATTTCTGCCCATTCTTCAAGGCAAAACTGCTCCAGCTCCTTCAAGTTGGATGGGTTCCGCTGGTGTACAGCAATCTTTAAGTCATACCACAGATTCTCAATTGGATTGAGGTCTGGGCTTTGACTAGGCCATTCCAAGACATTTAAATGTTTCCCTTAAACCACTTGAGTGTTGCTTTAGCAGTATGCTAAGGGTCATTGTCCTGCTGGAAGGTGAACCTCCGTCCCAGTCTCAAATCTCTGGAAGACTGAAACAGGTTTCCCTCAAGAATTTCCCTGTATTTAGCACCATCCATCATTCCTTCAATTCTGAACAGTTTCCCAGTCCCTGCCGATGAAAAACATCCCCACAGCATGATGCTGCCACCACCATGCTTCACTGTGGGGATGGTGTTCTCGGGGTGATGAGAGGTGTTGGGTTTGCGCCAGACATAGCGTTTTCCTTGATGGCCTAAAAGCTCAATTTTAGTCTCATCTGACCAGAATACCTTCTTCCATATGTTGGGGAGTCTCCCACATGCCCTTTGGCGAACACCAAACATGTTTGCTTATTTGTTTCTTTAAGCAATTGCTTTTTTCTGGCCACTCTTACGTAAAGCCCAGCTCTGTGGAGTGTATGGTTTAAAGTGGTCCTATGGACAGATACTCCAATCTCCGCTGTGGAGCTTTGCAGCTTCTTCATGATTATCTTTGGTCTCTTTGTCGCCTCTCTGATTAATGCCCTCCTTGCCTGGTCCGCAAGTTTTGGTGGGCGGCCCTCTCTTGGCAGGTTTGTTGTGGTGCCATATTCTTTAAACATTTTTATATAATTGATTTAATGGTGCTCCGAGGGATGTTCAAAGTTTCAGATATTTTTTTTGAACCCAACCCTGATCTGTACTTCTCCAAAACCTTGTCCCTGATCTGTTTGGAGAGCTCCTTGGTCTTCATGGTGCAGCTTGCTTGGATGTGTTGCAGACTCTGGGGCCTTTCAGAACAGGTGTATATATACTGAGATCATGTGACACTTAAATAAAGTCCACCTGTGTGCAATCTAACTAATTATGTGACTTCTGAAGGTAATTGGTTTCACCAGATCTTATTTAGGGGCTTCATAGCAAAGGGGGTGAATACATATGCACGCACCACTTTTCCATAATTAATTTTTTTGAATTTTTTGAAACAAGTTATTTTTTTCATTTCACTCCACCAATTTGGACTATTTTGTGTATGTCCATTACATGAAATCCAAATAAAAATCCATTTAAATTACAGGTTGTAATGCACCAAAATAGGAAGAACGCCAAGGGGGATGAATACTTTTGCAAGGCACTGTAAAGAAGGCAGGCAGGCATCGAGGCATTCAGTTACTGTTCAATTGAATGTTAGAACTGGCAAAACGAGTGACCTAAGCGACATTGAGCGTGGTATGATCGTTGGTGCCAGGTGCGCCGGTTCCAATATCTTAGAAACAACTGGCCTCCTGGGCTTTTTCACGCACGACAGTGTCTAGGGTTTAACGAGAATGGTGCAACAAACAAAAAAACATCCAGTCAGCGGCAGTCCTGTGGGCTAAAACAGCTTGTTGACGAGAGGTTGAAGGAGAATGGCTAGAATCCTGCAAGCTAACAGGCGGGCCACAAACAGGCAAATAACGACGCAGTACAACAGTGGTGTGCAGAACAGCATCTCGGAATGCACAACTCGTCAGTCCTTGTCACGGATGGGCTATTGCAGCAGATGACCACACCGGGTGATGCTGCCACCTCCCGAGTGGCGCAGTGGTCTAAGGCACTGCATCGCAGTACTAGCTGTGCCACTAGAGATCCTGGTTCGAATCCAGGCTCTGTCGTAGCCGGCCGCGACCGGGAGACCCATGGGGCGGCGCACAATTGGCCCAGCGTTGTCCAGGATAGATGGAGGGAATGGCCGGCAGGGATGTAGCTCAGTTGGTAGAGCATGGCGTTTGCAACGCCAGGGTTGTGGGTTCGTTTCCCACGGGGGGCCAGTATGAAAAAAAAAAAAATTACGTATGCACTCACTAACTGTAAGTCGCTCTGGATAAGAGCGTCTGCTAAATGACAAAAATGTAAATGTAAATGTTCCACTCCTATCAGCTAAAAACAAGAAGAAGCGGCTCCAGTGGGCACGCGATCACCAACAATGGACAATTGAGGAGTGGAAAATGAAAACCTGGTCCGACAAATCCCTGTTCCTGTTGCGTCATGCTGATGACAGTTAGGATTTGGCGTAAGCAGCATGAGTCCATGGCCCCATCCTGCCTGGTGTGGGGAATGTTTTCCTGGCACAAGTTAGGTCCCTTGATACCAACTGAAGAATTCAGGCTGTTCTGGAGGCAAAGGGGGGTCCAACCCAGTACTAGATGGGTGTACCTAATAAACTGGCCACTGAGTGTATATCTTCCTCTCTCTCTTTGTAAGGGACCAGCAATCTATAGGCCAAATCAGACGGATTAACAGAATACAGTCTCTCTGAAACAATAACAAAACAATGGCTTCATTTAATTTGGTAATAAACTGAACCAGTACAAGTTTAAACCCAGGACTGAGCCATTGTCATGGTGCCAGCAGATGCATCACGCAGACAAGCAGAGGACAGAGTTTCAAACTGTTCCTCTGCCAGTTTTCTATCTGTCCCTCTTCCAGGGTTTACCTGTGGGAGTCCCAGTCCTGCCTCTATAATCATTAATAACTTGAAAACCATTCCTTCAGGGACTCCTTGGATATTATCAATACCAAGCTGTAAAAATGTAATTTCCCCCAAAAACCTAAAGTGGGTCTTTAACTACAGCCAGCTTGTTCCATGCCGATCTGAGGAAAAACAATATGGAAAAACAATTGACAGAGACTGACTATCACCCATAAACTCTTTCTGTTATCGCACCCCCTCCTCTCTGTCTTTAGATCTGACTGAGGTTCCTGCAGACATCCCAGGGGACATGGTTCACATGGACCTGTCCCAAAATTCCCCCCGGCGCCTGAAGGCCAGAGACTTTGTGGAGGCCAACACCCTGAGGTCACTCAATCTCAGCCACAACAACCTGGAAGATATGGACACAGATGTGTGTGTTTGAGTGAGTGCGAGATAGTGAGAGAGATGGCGAGAGAGAGACACGGAGAGACAGAAAGCCTGATTATCAACCTCTAATGTGTGAGAGTCAGAGAGGCCAGATCTCAAGGCCCTGAGGGGTAGAATATTCCAGATCCAGATCATAGATCAATTTCAACCATATGTTTACTATTCACTGTGATAGCCATGAGAAACATATGGGAGGTTTGAAGCATTCGCATGGCCAGATAACTATTTCTGTTTTGAATTGATTGTATAATGCTCGTCCACAGGACAGTTTTGGAAGTACTTAAAAAAGGAAGAAATTATTACATTTACGTTTTTAAATTTTTAGTCATTTAGCAGACGCTCTTATCCAGAGCGACTTACATGAGCAATTAGGGTTAAGTGCCTTGCTTAAGGGCACATCAACAGATTTTTCACCTAGTCGGCTCGGGGATTAGATTATTATTATTATTATTATTATTATCAGTTTGACCTTAATATTGATGATAATAATGATTTCCTCTCCCTCTCTCTCTCAGCCTCACTGTCTTGGCTCCTCCACCTACATGAGTTTGACCTGTCCATCAACAGCCTGCGCTTCTTCCACTATGGCGTTCTAGAAGACCTCTATTTAATGTCACTGCTAAGGCTGGGGGGAAACCCCTGGGTCTGTAACTACAGGTGGGTAGTACTACTATTAACATTAGCTAAAAACTAACGCATTATGTGTACAATGCATTTGACCATGGATCATTCAATGCGTGAATGTTTCAAAATGTCCCTGTCCCTTGTAAATAAACATTCCAGCATCCACTACCTGGTGTACTGGCTATGTCTGCACCCAGGGGTGACCCATTCTGGCCTGCTGTGCCACTCCCCTCCCGAGCTCAGAGGAAAGAGTGTGGAGGACTACGTCCACTCCTACAACAGAGCCTGCGGCCAGACAGAACACAATCAGACGGAATACGGCCAGACGGACCCAGAGTTGTGGAACACAGCAATGGCGCTGAAGGGAGAGCTAGAGGAGGAGGAGGTGGAGCCGGCACATCTGAAAGGACCGCTGAAATACCGCATCACCAGATTGAATTAAACAACCACCGAAGGATGGAATCTTAAACATCTTTAAAGAGCGACTGCCTTTAAAAAGCAACACATCCCTTTGAAAACGGCCTATGTGGCATTGATATGAATCAGAAACAGTTATTCTATTGTCGAAATTGACTATAAAGTGTAAATAGGATAATTTTGGTCATAAAGTCAGTCTCGTCTAAAACGGAGTTTGGAACATCCATGCATAACAACAGGTAAATGAAGGTTGGGTTTTGAGTTGACGATGTCCATTTTCCCACTAACATGGGGTGAACAGCTGCAGTGATTGCGCTCTATCCAATAGCATAGACAGTGCGACAGACCTGCTCAGCAGCGCTGACTGTTTACATAAGACAACACCTCGTGCATTTACACCTTAGTTAGATGTAAAATTGCGCAACTAAAACATCCTCTGCAAAAATGTCAAAATTAATTACACATTTCTTGAGTTATCTTACATTAATTCTGGGGATTTTGAGGAAGTGAAATAGGGTTGGGGAAAAACATCATTAACCAAACACGGAATCAGTCTGAAAACACACCTCCAAGACTGAAATCTTTTTTTTCTAATGAGCAACAGAAAAACACATCGGGGTGTTCAGTGGCTCTTTAAATACTTATTTGTCTTATTTTATAGATTATTTAAATGTAGCCTGTATCAGATGGTAAAACTAACTTTGTTCAATATTGTTGTTCCTGCTTTGTCAGTGCAGTTTTTTTCCAGATTATTTATTTATGACAGCAATTTGAATGTACATGTAGCTGTGAAATTAAACACAATCGCATTTACGTAATTGTGTGTTTTTTGTTGTGTGTGTTAGTGTGTGTGCATGCTTGCGTGCAGGTGTGCATGTATGTAATCTTTACACCCGTGTGTGTGTGTGTGTGTGTGTGTGTGTGTGTGTGTGTGTGTGTACTAGTACTCACTGATACATTTGAAGCTGGGCCACTGTAGAGAGGTGCATCCACGCATGTTAAGGTGGACTACAAACGGCCGGTACTTCTGTAGGATCTGTTCCACGATGCTGTCTGTGATCCAGTCCCTCTCCACAGAGAAACTGATCTGTCATTCAGAGACAAACATCGGAGGAAACATTACAGGACATCCCAACTCAACAGGTAACAATACAATACAAGGGATATATTAGGCCTGAAAGCACCGTGGAAAATGCTGCAGACATAAGAGTTAAATCACTGACAACAATTAGTTAATGTTATGAAAAATGTTATGTTGGTGCTTTTCTATTTACCAATTTCTGTGTTCTGTTTGTGCTTTTCTAATAACCGTTTTCTGTGTTCATGCAAGTGACTGACTGAGCGAATCCTCACTATCAGTATCTGCAATTTGGCATTACGCCCAGACCCTTGTTTTGAGAACGAAAGATATCTCAGTTTCAAGGTCTCAGCTTATGTTATGTTGGTCCTCTGTAGCTCAATTGGTAGAGCATGGCGTTTGCAACGCCAGGGTAGTGGGTTCGATCCCCGGGACCACCCATACGTAAAAAATGTATGCGCACATGACTGTAAGTCGCTTTGGATAAAAGCGTCTGCTAAATGGCATATTATTATAAGCCTCGTGAGGTATTGGTCTGTCACATGCATGACCCAGTATTGGTCGGTCACATGAATGACGCAAAGCGTTAATGATAAATTATTATGAATAATGAATAAGCTAAATCATGCAAATATTACTTTCTGTGTAAGTATATAAGATAACTAACGGGACTGCCCCGTCAGAGCTCCTGACAGACGTTCACTATAGTGCATCAAGTTTGTTGGAACCTCTCCAGTTAACTGACAATAAACAATTATTCATTTAAGATTGACTTAGAGTGTCCCTGTGTAAGAATTTCCACGACAGTTACATTAAATGTTTATGGTAATTTCAGTAACTGTGATTGTGGTGTGTGTGTGTGTGTGTGTGTGTGTGTGTGTGTGTGTGTGTGTGTGTGTGTGTGTGTGTGTGTGTGTGTGTGTGTGTGTGCCATACTGACCCTACTCCACAGCGAGCAGGTCTGAGTGATGGCCTTCCAGGTCCGACACACTTCTGCACATTTCAGTAGGTCTCCTACGTCTAGACTCTGGAAGACCTGACCAAACAGAATACTATGATGGAACAGTTGTCACCAACCCAGCACTGGAACCTACACACCCTGTAGCCTAGGTTGAAGATAGAGATATTTTTTCGACCTAGCCTGTAGCTCTCCAGGACCTGGGTTAGTGACCACTGCCATAGCTACTGTTCAGTCAATCTGGTGTTGAAAGATGTCATGCATGGCTGCATCCGAAAGTATACCCTATTTCCTATCAAGTTAACTACAAAAAAATCAGACGACACATCTACCACTTTTCATTCGCAACACAACACTGCAGCATAGGCCTTGATTTACTGCAAGTCAATTCAAACTTTTCACCCATACCGTTTATACCATTTACACTGTGATTGTGAGTTAATCTGAATCCATTTCATATTGAGAGAACACAGCAGAACAATCTCTCCGCCTCCATTCCTCTTGCTATTTTCCCACAATTACTTAGATTTTGCCTCTAAAAACAGACAAAAAATACTGACGGTCAACAAAGCATTTAGGAGCTCTTCTCCTTTCCGAAACATAGTCATGGCCCAGTAATATTTATTGGGCGAGATGTTTGATAAAAACAGCATAGTAATCACTGCCAAGAAATAAGCCTTGGTGCCAGAGCTACTCTGTAACTGCTAGATGCCTACAGGAGTGGTCACAGACAAAACAGTCCTGTATAGTATTTAATAGGTACGCTTTTTCTATTTAGGAACCATTTCCTAGCATTTCCCCTCACACTAAACATGAACCTCTGCTGATTAGCTTCCCTGCGATTTCAAAACCCCCGCCGCCACTCCAAATTGAAAACAAGTCCCTCGCAATTTGCTTGGCCAGAAGACAAAACATACAGGGTAACATGTAATTATTGGGTAACTGCTCTCAGAAATGGGTCCAATAACACTATCATCCAGAGGGAGAGAGAGAGTCATTCGATACACACACACACACACACACAACTGCCATGGCAACCGATAATAGAACATAATAGGCCATGACAGGCTGTGATTGACTAATCATGGGTCGTTCCATATGAATTCAATCACTTTCTGACTGCACCCCTTTAGATTTTAAAGTTCTAATGCAGCTGTTTCTAGCTCGATATCAAACCATTTCTGGGTAACAATTAAGTACCTTACTGTGATTGTTTTACATTACAATGGTCAAAAGTAGCTTCTTAGCAATGAGCAATTTCTCAAGCAAGAATTTTGCTAGGACTGTCTGGGAGTGGTCTGAGTAGGGAGGGGAAAACTGAAAACTAGCTGTTAGTGGAAGAGAGCTTTGGGAACTCTCTTTCTTATTGGTCTATTAACTAATTTACCGCCTGGTGATGTCATCAGGCAGGCCAAAACTCCATCCCACCAAAACAGGCAGAAATTTCAGGTGGTCTTTTCAAATAGCTCTTACACTAAAAGGGCATTATCATAATTTTCACAATATAACAGTATTATTCCAACCTCAGTGTGGAAACATATAAAACACAGTAAAATCCAGTTTGACTGCACTGGGCCTTTAACGAAACCTTCCAAACAGGTGGTCAGAAAGTGACGTTTTGGACCTGAATGCCAAAACATTCTGGAGATAGAGGTGCTCAAAGTTGACCCATTTTGCATACCCCACCCTACCATGAGACATCCATGTCTTCATCACTGAAAAATATAAAGGGTTGAGTTTGATATCATTTGAAAGCTTACAAACAGTGTTGTCAAACTATTTTATAATTTCTTGAAAAAACACTTTTTTTATAGAGATTATGTAATTTCTTAACCTTTAACGTAAATTCTCTCAAAACGCGTAAACTCATACCCTATTTTACATTGTCTGAAGTGTTTTTGTTGTGCCCGTCATTGGTTGAAACATAGCATTCTCTTGAATACAGGGTGGGTGTCATTTCAATCATAGAAACTTAATTCATAGAATGGCCCTATCCCTTCAGACCACTGCAATTTAGCTGGCACACCATTGGAGAAACAACGGTGTGTACATGTTTTGTTATAGTAGAAATACATGTACAGTATAACATGTTCAGTTATATCCTGTATTTCTATATGATATTATGACATCTAGTGGCCCTTTTGGGTACTTTAGATTACCACAGGTGTCTGCAATTACCTCTGACTCGCTGTGTGGCCTTATCTGTCCCACTATTGTTTGTGGAGATATGCTCTGATGACCGAAAGCTCAGCTATAATAAACATTTATTTGGTAGTATGCGGAGACTTTTTCCTGTTTCTCCAGTTTTGCCTTTTGCCTCCAGCACCTTCACAAATCAGCTTTGGGTGTGCGGTAGATTCTGCCTATCAGTTTGTACACCACTGAAATTAAAATTTAAGTTTCAATTACTACCAGAAAGATGGCCGCCAGTCCACCCACCGTTGAATGTCAACTTGAATGGGAATGTCTATTCTATTATCTATATTTCTATGATTTCAATAGGTTTCCTATGGAAGATTGACAGTTTAATTCAAAACAATGTGCATTCCCACTAAAGTCAACATTCTCTGATGTGTGGACCATTAACCATCTTTGTGGTACCATTTGAAAGTTGAAATGTACATTTTATTCACATTTTAGTTAATTTATCAGCCAAAACATGACACCTGCTCTGTCTCAACCGATGGTGGGCACAATACAAACACCTCTGATTATGTAAAATAGGGTCTAAGTTACAACATATATGAACATGAAAAAAATTGGAGTTTACGAGTTTCTAGATAATTGATGTTTAAAGTTAAGAAATTCCAATTTAGAAAAAAAATAGTTTTTCAAGAAATTATAAAATAGTTTGACAACCCTGTTTGTAAGCCTTTAAATTATATAAAGTCAATTTTATTTTTCAGTGATGAAGACATGGATGTCTCATGGTAGCGTAGGGTATGCAAAATGGGTCAACTTTGAGCACCTCTATCTCCTGAATGTTTTGGCATTCAGGTCTAAAAAGTAACTTTCTGACCACTTATACCATGGGCAAACATGTATGGAAGGTTTCGTTCAAATCAAAAGGGGTGCATTCAGAAAGTGACTGAAATCATATGGAACGACCCTCATGTGGCCTTAGAGGGGACAAGGACAGGGGACATCATAACTCATGATGCATGCAATAGAGGTGACCTCAGGATTAACTGCCCATGAAGGCTAGGAATCTTCACAAACTATTACAGTTTTTCTCAATTGCTTAAACACTAAAACCCATTGGCTGAACAAAGTTCTCAGTTGCCTGGACTCATTTAGCTAATTATGCAGTCTGTTGTCAATACCTTAAACCATTTCACATGGTAAAACACAATTTGCAGATCTCACTTAGACTTTTCAGCAAAACTCTAAACATATTCTCATTCTCAAAACTCATTCTGCACTCTAATGCACATGTCATCCATACTGGTAAACACAAGTGGCAACAGTCAAATACAAATAGAGAACACATGTCATTGATTGAACACAACCACTCAAAATTGATTTAACCTGTTTCAAATGATGCGACACAACCAATATAAGCCAGTTCAGAGAGCAAACAGGTTGTTGAAGGTGGGAAGGAGAAAGTCTGAGAATGGAAAGAAGAAACAATGTGAGAGGACGAATGCGTATGCGAGGTGGGCGACGAGGAGGAAGAGGAGGAGGAGGGCAAGAAAGAGGAAGAGGAGGACGAAGAGGAAGAGGACAAAGAGTGGAAATATCTGATGAAATTCGAGCAACAGTCATAGACCATGTTCTTGTCCATGGACTGACAATGAGGGAAGCAGGACTTAATGTGCAACCCAATTTGAGCCGATTTTCTGTGTCCACCATAGTAAGGACATTCAGAGAAGAGAACAGGTACAGTATACTACTGTATTTTTGTAATTGCAAATTTACTGTACTACACTATATGCAGCTGTTTCAATAGACATTTGTAAAGTTAATCACTGTATGTATTGTACTGCATGAATATGTTTTGTAACTGCACAACTACTTTTTGTAGAATTGCAAGGCTGTCACATACAGGTGGAAGGACAGCTATATTCACTCTGGAGCAAGAGGCCGTTATAGTTGGCATGGTCCTTCAAGATAATGCAATACGACTTCAAGGGAATCAACAGTGTGAGCATTTCCACAATTGACCATGTCCTCCATCGTAACAGGATGCGAATGAAACAAGTATACAGAGTACCTTTTGAGCGCAACTCACCAAGGGTGAAAGAACTGCGAGCTCAGTATGTGCAAGTAAGTGTACATTCAGCAACATTTACTGTAATCCAGATTGTCTACAGTACTAACACATACTATGTGAATGACATTACTCTTCAGTACATACAATGTATGTGAATCAGAAGTGCATACAGTTGGCCTAATTGTACTCTACAGTATAGCACTGTCTCTGTACGACTTACAAAATCCTACATACAGTTTATTGTATTTCTACACAGACAATATTTGACTTGGAATCCTTGGACAGACCCCATGAGTTCATCTTTGTCGATGAAGCAGGCTTCAATCTAACAAAGAGGAGAAGGAGAGGCCGAAACATGATTGGACAGAGGGCCATTGTTGAAGTCCCTGGTCAACGAGGTGGCAATGTCACAATCTGTGCTGCTATCAGCAACCATGGTGTTCTACATCACCATGTTACACTCGGGCCATATAACACCCAACACCTTCTAAGATGTATTGCCAATCTAAGAGATATTTTATTTGAGCAGCAGGTTCAAGAGCAGCAGGGTCAAGAGCTAAATGAGAATCCCATTCCCACCTATGTGATAGTGTGGGACAATGTCAGTTTCCACCGAGCTGCTCAGGTAAGGGAATGGTTTAACATCAATGGGCAGTTTATGAACTTGTACCTCCCTCCATACTCGCCTTTCCTGAATCCGATTGAGGAGATGGAAAGTATATGATAGACAACCCTACACTAGAGTAGGTCTGCTGCAAGCCATGGATTTAGCCTGTGGTGATATAGGTGAGGAATCATGTCAGGGTTGGATACGGCACACTAGAGGCTTATTTCCCCATTGCCTCAGGAGGGACAATATTGCTTGTGATGTCGACAAAGTGCTCTGGCCTGACCCAGCCCAAAGACAAGAAGAAGCACATTGATCACATGTTTACTCCTTTGATTTTTGTCCCTTTTAGTATTGTATACTGTAGTACAGTGCATTGTAGGCTGTATACTGGACAATGGACAAATTGTATGGCCCTGAACATTGTGCTTTCCATTTGTTAACAGTACTGACTGCTCAATAGATTTTGACTGGTTGCAGGTTCATATCAACAAAGAACAAGAATTACAGTATCACAGAGACAAAGGACAAGTTTGTGAGATGCAGGGTACAGTACTGTAAAAATAGGGGTACAAGGAGGAGGAAGAACAAAAAACAAAATTGCAAAGAGCAAAGCAGAGTAGTGATTTCTGATCAATTTTGAGCTACTATGATAGAACATGTTTTCGTTCATCAAAAGAAAATTCTCCCTGAGAACTGTATGTTTTGAACAATGTGTTTTCTATTTTTCAGTGTATTGTTTACTGACTGCTTGAGAGTGTATATCATTTTGATCACTTTGTTTATGATTTGAGAGCAGTGTTTGATTTTGAACACAGGTAAAACTGTTTTGAGGCGAATGTTTCATTTTGCGAGAGGAGTCAGAGGTTTTGTAAATAGTGCTTGAAGATGAGGTTTTGTGTTGAATGTTTTCAGAAAATGGAGCAAGGTTTCAGAAATTGTGTATTAGCAATTGAGAAAAACTGTAATCTGACAGTTATATAAGGAAACTCAGGATCCCTGGGGTGGACATGTGACTCATAAGAATGTAGGGTGAGAAGAGTGAAATTGGGTGGAGATAGAAGAGGAGGCAGGTTTGGCGAGTGAGCATGAGGGAGACAGTAAGAGAGAGAGAGAGAGAGAGAGAGAGACATTGAGAGAGAGAGAAGAGAGAGAGACATTGAGAGAGAGTGAGAGAGAGACATTGAGAGACAATGAGAGAGAGAGACAGTGAGATAGAAAGAGGGAGACAGTGAGAGAGATAGACAGTGAGAGAGAGAGAGAGAGAGAGAGAGAGAGAGAAGTACCTTTATTGAGAGCTTGCAAGGTAGCAGTGAGAGTCCGTCATGTCCCTCTCCAATGGCAACGTCAGAGTCCTGACTGCTCATCTCCAACAGACCGTTCTCCAGGCTCTGATAACACACACATTACATTGTCTATATGAACGGAGCTGCCACTGTATTGAAGCCATTGGACCCAGTTTAACATAGCGCACTACGCCTTATTACGGGCAATATGTTCAGTACACATCATTGCATTCTGTATCAGAAAGTAGGCTGGCCCTCTCTGAAGTCTCGTAGACCAATGCATTGCACTCTTTTTGTTTATCAAGCCCTCCTGCATAAACTTCCGCCGTACCTTACCTTACCTTACCCAGTCTCAGGGATGGCTAACTCTGGTAGATGTGCTTTTAGTTATTTTTCACCTTATGTGTGGAAAGATCTCCAATGCACTTTAAAATTGGAGGAATTGGTTCCTCTAAGGCTGCTAGGATACCTTTTTACTGTATTGTGTATAATAATGTGTATTTTAATGTTTATATTGACGTTTAATTTAATGGGTATATTGTATTTTGATATGTATTGTTGTTGTGCTAAACAGGGCTCATCTGGAAAAGAGACCTTGGTCTCAGCATTGACTCCCAGTCAAAATAAAGGTTTAATAAATAAATAAAAAATACTTAATTGGTATACAGTAAATACTAGTCAGGTTAATCTTGTCCAGTCATACCTCAAAGTACTCCTTTGTCCGTTTTGAGTCCTGCACCACATAGCGCCAAGCAGCTATGACAATCTTACAGTGGATAGCATTCCACACTCGCTGGATCTTCTTCATGGCATCTGAGAGCAAAACACACACAAGCATTATACATGTTCTGCATGAAAAAGTGAACATATGTCACGACTGCCTCCTCTCCTTGTTCAGGCAGGCTTCGGCGTTCGTCGTCACCGGCCTTCTAGCAACTGACGCTCCATATCTCATCATTCCATTTGTTTTTTCTTGTCTATTACACACACCTGGTTCTTATCCCCTCATTAGTACATGTATAAGTGTTCCCTCTGCCCCCTTGTCCTTGTGGGTGATTGTTTAATGTGAGGAGAGAGTAGCTTGGTTGAGCTACGTGTATTTTGTATTGCCGGGGTATATTTTCCCTGTGTGCCTGTTTTGTTCCAGTGCACCTATCCAGCGTAACTCTGTGCTACAGAATAAACTCTGTATTCTGTGATTTACCCTCCTGTGCCTGACTCCTTCAAATCACCTATCACAATATACTGTCGAAAAATTATCTATTTGTGGAAGAAAATAAAATCGTAGAAACATGGATGTTGCAACTGTATTTTGTACCAACACTTTAACTCAATAAGCATAACTGAGTTAGGGACACCCAAAATAAAAATTATCTGTATACTGTCATTCATAATGAAAAACATCCTGACAGATTTTTTAAAGCAAAATCAGTCAGACTAACAGCAGTCTGGATAACTAACTGTATTAGCTAATAACTTTCAGCTGACCCACTTAACATAACTGACCAAAAACAAGCCATGCTGTTTTTTGGAACTATGGTCTCATACTGTACTCTGCAGCTTTGCAAAAGACAGGCGATTCACGCATACAGGTTACTCACATGGATACTAAAGCATAACTTTTTTTATGTACTGAAGCACATGAATGAACGGAGGTCAGTCAAGTAATGCTCTAACAGTAATGCATAAATATACATTAGAGTCATAGATAGGCCTACTTAGTAGAGTTTGGCAAACTACCCTCCACATTGATGTTGGGACCAAATGTTCCATAAGAGTCTAATTTACATTTTAACCTGTAGCTCAGTTGGTAGAGAATGGCACTTGCAACGCCAGGGTTGTGGGTTCGTTTCCCACAGGGGGCCAGTATGAAAATGTATGCACTCACTAACTGTAAATCGCTCTGGATAAGAGCGTCTGCTAAATGACGTAAATGTAATATAAATATCTTCTAAGGTGCCAAAATGGCACCCATTAAAATTCCAGAGGCTTAAACTTTAGTTTCCCTACAGTAACTCTGTAGACTATATCAATGACTCTGCAACACATGCCGACAGTAGTTGCCTACCGTTCTGCCTTCTCTTGCGGACCTGTACCCACTCCACCCACTTGCAGAGTGCGACCCTCCGGCCCCTCTGTATGTAGTGCCTCTCAGCTGTCTCCATCTTCAGTGTTAGCTCCCTGGCCTCCTTCCGCTTATTCCAGATGAACCTTTTCCACGCCCTGCCAGCGCCCACAAAACACAGCCATCATTAATTCAGTGAGCTGGCAGGTAGGACTGATCCTGTACACCTTCATTCATTCAGCGGGGTAGAACATGAACCAGGGGCATTTTCATTCAATAGGGGTAAGTCGTGTATAGAATAGACCTACAGTATATGTGCCTCAGTTATCTTGTTGAATTGAAGTCTTTGATTGTTCTATACAGCATATTTATATCTGCAACACCTTAAAGGTTTCACTCTCCTCAATGAGCTATTCCCCCCAGATACTCAGTTATTCAGATAGCAGCATATGTTAGCTAGACAAAGGCTGTCAGTGATACTAGATACTGATATCATCCTCCCAGGGCCTGTACTACCTGCATCAATAGGAGGTGAAAGGAAATACAGAGTACAGTGTCTCAGCTAACCCCCCAGCTTGTTTACCAGTGACCCACGGAGAAGGACTTTCAATCACACGTCTCGTTATTGGCCACCACTCTTCATAGACAAAAGTGTGTGTTTATTAAATTTGAATTATTAACTGTCAACTGCACTGTAGGCCAATTTTTTTTAACAGTATCTAAGCTTCATATTGATGTCTAAGCTGATGATTTACTTTGGAACTGACTAATCAATTGGAAGAGTGGTATTCTATGGTGCTTTCAAGACAACTGGGAACTTGAAAAAAACGAGGTCAAATCATGACGTCAGTGATCTTTAGGAAGATGCCAGAGTTTTTCCCAGTCGGGGCTTGTTTTTTTTCCAAGTTCCCAGTTGAATTTTGTATAGAGGTCAACGAGAGAATGTTGAATTTGGTCAACAAAAAATTGAATTGCTAATTTGCTACTTGAGGCTTATTTGATCGAATAGAAGCTTCGTAATGGTTAAGTTTTTACGAATGCACTGAAATAAGTAGACCCACGTGGCAAAACGACTTTATATCGGACTTGTGCCTGTTGTTCACACAGGCACAAGGACTGAAAAAAATCGTGGACTGATTTTTGTTGTTCACACAACAGGCCCTCTCATTGGCTAGAATGGTCCCACCTGATCTCGCCTCCTCCAGCCTGCCTTCCATCTTTGAGAACATGTATTTCCATTGTTAGTGGTCACTCGACTATATTGTCAATATAATAGAAAATCTTTGACTGTATTGAACGACCAGTTGAAGAACGGTGTGATTATGATGGCCCAGAGGGAGATTGTATGGTGTGTGCTGCACCAGTTTAGCGATTTCAAATGGTCACACCACAGAGATAGATAGAGGACTTTAGTGCCCAAAAGCCTGTTTTAGCATGGGCAGCACGATTGAGGACTTTCAGGAGAATTCTGCAGACTCTGTCCCGTTTGGTAATAAGCATGTCTTGCATATTGACCTGAATAGCATAACGACCTTGATAATATTAGGCTAAACCTTACACATGTCCTTAGGAAACCCTGTTCTGCATGTATATCCATTCAGTACACTTCTACAGAGGTGTGCCTGCTCCTTATTGAGATGCCTCAGGTCTTTTGAAATCTAGAGGCTTCTCAGGGCCTGGTCCGGACTCTGGCTCTGCAGACACCAGCTACCAGTCCAGTGGAGGGAAACCAGCCCCCAGCTTTGTCTGTGCAGAGAGAACCAGTCCCCCAATCCCAGGAGCCTGGGCAGTTCACACAACTTGTCTCCACTCCAACTAAACCAAGGCCAATGCCCAAGGGTGGAACTGTCCGAAGCGAGTATGAGCCAAGAGAAACCGTGGAGCAGGCCAACTACCCCAGTCACTCCAGTGTTTATGGTGATCATGTTTCTAGCCATTCTGGCTCTGCCCAGATCGGAACCTCCGCAGGACATGAGCCCAATGAGTTCATCCCAGCTCCCTCTGACACCTTTGTTCAAGAGCCTGAACATGCTAGCACTGGTAATGATGTCCAAACTCCCTACAACCCTTTACTTGAGAGGCCAGCACTTAGTAACATTGTCAAGGAAATCAGTTTCGCAACCATTCATGATTTAAAACAATTTGTGAAGTCTATGAGGAACACCTTCCTTAAGCCAGGTAGACCTTTCCAAGAAACCTTGGACACTGTGCAGAATTAACATGTCCCCCATATTCAGCTGCCAAGCCAAATATCCCAAACTATCCATGTCTCTATTGAGAAAAGGCTTGCCCAAAATGGCTGCAGTTCGACCCAGAGCTTGAGAGAGCCAGCCTCTCCAAAGCCCCATTGAAAGTACACTGTCCCTAATCCTCTCATCTCTACCCAAGGTCCAGCCTCTCCCAGTGGTTATAGCAGTAAAGGCCCTGATTCTGTTCCCTTGTATCATTCTAACGAAGTCCCTGCAGGGGAATATGTTTCAAAGAGCTATGGAAGTCTTTCTTATGCTGGCTCAACCTTTGGAAATGATGGTGGTGCTTATAACAGTTTTGATGTCCAGAGTGAACAAATCCCTAATGTCAAGCAGCCGTTCAAAGTGTCTCAAACTGGCTATGTCCCTACTGTACAAAGGCCTTTCCCTTCCAGTTCTTCCTCCAGACAGGATGGACAAGCTTTGTCTTCCAACAGTGGTGGCTACCAGAGTGCCCCAAGACTCAGCCCCCCTCGCCCATCCATCCTCTCAGTATGCCAACTAAACATGGTTCTCAAAATGGGACAAATTTTTTGTATTCAATAGGTGAGCTTTAGATAACAGGGGTTACTTACTTGAAGCACATATTTGTTAAACTTATTCTGTAACAGGAGTAGGCCTTCTCAAACAAATGTGAGAGAAACTGTGGAGGGAAGGAAAGATGTAAAGGTGAGATTATTTTCAAAATGTAGGAAACCACTAAACCTTACCAACCAAAACAAACTGCAAATACATCCAACAAGTTTGTAAAGCCACAAGCTTGATGTAGTCATTGAGTGCAAGGAATATGGGACCAAATTCTAAACTTCTGACTACTTTAATACACTATAAGTGAATTTGCCCAAATACTTATGACTTTTTCAACAAAATGTGCTTTTATTTCTAAACGTTAAAACAGATATATGAAAATACATTCAAATAAAAGGTGACATACTGTACTGTCACCTCATATGAAACGTTTGATCTCAAATCCAAAATGCTGGATGGAGTATAGAGCCAAATGTAAAATGTTTGCTTCACTGTCAAAATACATGGAGAGTGTATGTAGGAAACCACTCAACCTTACCAGTGTATCATCTCGTTTCCCAAAGATGTCACGCACCATGCTTCCTGCCAGTGAGTTTATGGCGACTTGTTCCGGATCATCAACACATGTATGCCTAGAGACAGAGCTTTGATAACATTTTCTGCAATTCACTGCAGCTTTTATCAACCTGGTTTCATAAAGTTTTGGGCTTGGGTATGATACTAAATGCTAATCCCTCTTGCATTTCAAACGTGGGAATGAAACTATCACTGCCATTATACTCAGACCACACTGCATTCATTGTGGTGTGGGCCATGCACTGCAGTGTTGATAAGTAAAGCAAGTGGGTCCCCAACTTGAACCTTTATCAATCCATCAATCAATCAATTGTATTTATAAAGCCGTTTTTACATCCGCAGATGTCACAAAATGCTTATACAGAAACCCAGCCTAAAACCCCAAACAGCAAGCAATAAAGATGTAGAAGCAAGTGCCTAGGAAAAACTCCCTAGAAAGGCAGGAACCTAGGAAGAAACCTAGAGAGGAATCAGGCTATGAGGGGTGGCAAGTCCTCTTCTGGCTGTGCATGAATATTTCATTCTTGAAAATAAGAAAATGCACGTGTGCTGTGACTTACTCCCTACACAGCTTTTCAGAAAGTGGAAGTTTTGAGACGTTTTTATTTATAGGTCACAACCGTTTTATATTATTGACCAATCAGAAGTAGGATAATGTAACAGGCTACCCACCATTCAATCTCAACAGTGTCCCGGTTTTCCTGAATAGACACAATCTTCCTTTCCAGAAAATGTAATGGCCTTTCAGGACACGACACACATAAACCTGTTAATAATGCCTGTTGAAACACCAAACGAGTATTGTAAATATTAAGGGACAAATTTAGCTATATAGCTAACTAAGTTAGCTACCAACTGCTATTTAGATCTGCTGTTAACTATCTAGCTACTGTAGCTAGCTAGCTATCTTACGTTTGGTTCACGAGAGTTGGCATGGCAAAATTAGAGACATTGTAAAAGTCTCACCTGAAATATCTGGGGCAAGGAATGCTTCAGTATATATTCCCTCAACGCCGGGTCAGCATTTTGTAAATAAGCCATATCAAAACTCCATCCCAAAGTAGGTAATATAGATAGCTAAGTGCAAAATTATCAAAATATTTGTCAACACAGAAGGCCCCGTTCTGTTCTCTGATTGGACACTTCCCTGTACAGTTTACCGTTACCTAGTAACCAAGATTCCATGTTGGGGGCGGGGGGGGCGGGGGGGGGGGGGGTATTGCTATCAGGTTGTAAATCACAGCTGGCCTGGTAAAAAAAAATCTGCCGCCACCCATTAGGGATGCAGTTTCAGTTTCAATGACTCAATATTGACGACTGTAACTAAGGTTGGGAATGTCAATGCAATCAAACTAGCAAGGGCAATCATCACAAGTCAGTCATAGCGTGGCTAAAATGCTAGCGTACGTGTCAAACAGAAGTCCTGCGGGCGGAATAGGACACACAAGCGAGTCAACAGTTGAGTCATCTACTTTATGAAATTACAGCCTGAAGCGCTCACATCTGTGAATTCAACTTCAATTGTGCTGCTTTACTTTATGTATATATATATATATATATATATATATATATATATATATATATTTGTGTATATATATGTATATTTATATGTGTGTGTATATATAATAATAATAATATAATATGCCATTTAGCAGACGCTTTTATCCAAAGCGACTTACAGTCATGCGTGCATACGTTTTTTTGTGTACGGGTGGTCCCGGGGATCAAACCCACTACCTTGGCGTTACAAGCGCCGTGCTCTACCAGCTGAGCTACAGAGGACCACATATGTGTGTGTGTGTGTGTGTGTGTGTGTGTGTGTGTGTGTATATGTATGTGTGTGTATATGTATATGTGTGTACATGTGTATGTGTGTATATGTGTATATATGTATATGTGTGTATATATATATGTATATGTGTGTGTGTATATATGTGTATATATATCTATATGTGTATATAGATATGTGTATATATATGTGTGTGTGTATATGTATATGTGTGTATATGCGTATATATTTATATATATATATGTATATATGTTTGTGTATATTGTTGCGGATACAGGTATCCTGTGTTTTTTTGTGTTTTTCCTCTCCTTCTGCCCTAATCACAGGTGTCCTGTATGTTCCTGATTGATGGTCGTTGGGGTGTCTGCTGATTGCTGAGGTGGACCAATCAGTGGACAGTCCTCTTCATTGCACCACCTGTTTCTGGTTTTTCAATCACACATCCCATTGTTTAAAAGCCGGTCAGTTGTGTTTGTAGAGAGAGACTGTTTTCTGTATGTGAGTATGGATACTGCGGTGTCCTGTGTTTTGTGTACTCACTCATTTGCTGGTTACTCTGTTTGTTAACTTTGTTGTATGTTTCTGGGAAAAGGGGAATTTAAGCAAGTTGCCCTTGGGCATACATTACCCATAGGAAGAAAACTGTCTAAAAACACTAGTTAGACCTGAGTGGACCACCCACTGTATTTTTGTATGATTAGCAGTAGCTTAGTGGTTCTTGAGGCAGGCAAGATCAGTTTAGGGTTTTTTTACACTAGTTTCATTTCTTGGGTCCTGCTCAGCCCTTTTTCCCAAACCTTTACCGTGTGTTCAAAAATAAACATTCTATGTTTGACGGTAGTTTATGGTTGTCGTGTAGTTTTTCTCACTGTTCCATGTCACGATTCTAATTTGCATGAATTATGTTACGGGTCTCTTGTCCATCCACCCTAGACGTTTAAAGCCACGGGGTTCGTAACTATATATATATATATATATATGCATGCTACTGCTCGACAAAAAAAAAAGTCGACCAACAGCCTGTCGACTAATTGGGGTCAGCCCTAATCTGAAAATGGTTAGGATTAAATGTCCATACTTAATTTTAATAGTTCATACTTTATTCAATACCTAACCTTCGGTTTGTACCAAATCTGTTTAACAATCAATGTCTCTGTCTGTCAGGTTTATGTGGACCAGGTGATGGAACTGATTGAGATGTCTCCGGTGAACTCTGACCTCCCGGTGGCTGCCCTCCGGCTGTTGACTAACCTGTCCGTCACAGATGACCACCACCACCTACTCAGGGGGTCAATTACCCTCCTCTCTCTGCTTGTTGTTAGCAACCAAGTGTTACAGGTACAGTAGGTGCCATTTATGAAGTGTTGTATAGCTTGTGTATACTGGGACCTTAACCCAAATGTGATTCAGTGTAAATCCTAGTTATGATTGAATAATGTATTCCTACTTTTTCTTTACAGATTCAAGTTTTAAAAGTGCTTGTGAATTTATTCTCCAATCCTGATATGATGGATGGCATAGTGCAAGCTCCGGTAAGGCTGACACATACAAATACATTTACAACCAAATCGGCCAAAACAGCCACACCTTGGTCATCACCTGTGGTCCTCTGTAGCTCAGCTGGTAGAGCACGGCGCTTGTAATGCCAAGGTAGTGGGTTCGATCCCTGGGACCACCCATACACAAAAAAAAATGTATGCACGCATGACTGTAAGTCGCTTTGGATAAAAGCGTCTGCTAAATAGCTTTATTATTATCAACTTTGATAGGGCCTCATATTACTATGATTGTTAATTTAGCCTACATATAAGTTTCACTATTTAGTCCAGAACCAGAGCTGTTTTCTTTGAACTGTTGGCTCAGTTCAGCACCTGGGTATTTTGGGTGTGTACATATTATACCTAGTCTCATGAGCCAGACTCATAGTCTTCCTTTAGTATTCCTCTGATGGGTGTCCTATGCACCAGCCTCCATGGTCCTGCTGTGACAATTTTCTGAGCTCTAAACTTGACTTGTTTTGAGCTGTGTTGCTCCCTGTGTCCTTCCCAGGCTCCAGCCTCTGTGGTGCTGCTGTTTGACGTGTGGACCAGCCTGGCGGTGCTCTTGCGGCTGTTGATGTTTGCAGGTAACCTGAAGGCCTGGAGGGCTTCTGCCCAGGTGGCGGAGGCCCTGAGGAGGAGACAGGATTGCCTGTACTGGGGTCCTGCTGGATGAGTCCTCCCAGCTCCACAGCAGACTGATCTCCTCTCTCACCCTGATGGGGAGGTTCGAGCTCAGGTGGCCCGGGTCCTCTCGTAGACCCCCATATCGAACCGAACTCGACACCGCCTCTCTTACCTACAATATTATTTTAACCTCCAACCTAATTTTCCCAACATCGACTCCTTAAATGCCCCAAATCCTCCTAATAACAAATCCTCCTTAATCATGCCACCAAAACATACATCCTACCTTCAAACCTCCACCCTCTTCCCTTGCCACAAACCTCCAACATAACGTACACCCCAACCAGACTTAATCAATGTGCCTAGGCCTGCCCGTGCCTTCAAACACCACCCAGCGCTATATCCCTTCTGCCAATTTCCACCCAACTTCAGTCCTACTTCTCCACCTCTCCAAACCAAACCATCATAAACCTCCACCCACTGGAAATCTATCCAGTTCTCCAGTGATCATGAAGGAAAGGAGGTGAGGAGGAGAGGAAGCCATTTAATTGTATTGAGACTCGGGCCACCTCTCCCTCCCACTCCTTCACTCAGGCTGTATTTAAAGAGGCAGTGCTCCTGCAGAACTTCCACACAGTGTCTTTCTCTCTCCCGAGAACATGTTTTCCACTTCCTCTCAAGGCATCATGTTCCAAGTGAAGCCCCGTAATCTAAACCCACTGCCAAAACCTTTCAAGTAAAGAGAATGTGTCGGGAATATGCCCTCTAACACCTCACACAACTGCTAACTGCAGTTGCATGGTGAACTGTGCATATGTAATGGAGGTGGTTCAGTTAACCACATTCACATGATGAGTACACTTGCCTGATGCATAAAGACTTGCAATAGCTCCTGGACCTAATACCTAGGCTTTAGCTGAGTGGGCTAACACATCTTCTGGATGAGACCCACTGGACAGGCTGGCCAAATCATTACTGTATGTTGAGTTTACTTGATGCACACTTTTTGCATGCCTTGTTGACACCAGTACAGAGATGCACAGCTCCAGTCTTCAAGGGTCATGGTGGGTTGGAAGTCTTGCCCGCTTAAACTGTCAATCAGTAACTGATTTACCCCTGTGAATCAAAGGTCAAGTTAGGCATATCCAAAATATGTGCACTAGCAGCTTAATGCTTTCAAGAAGAAGTAGTACTCATTGCACTGCAGACTGCTTAAATAGATAATAGACAAACATTTCCCGACTTGAGTTGTTTGTTTAAATCACTGAGAGAAGAAAAATGACAACCAGCTCATCTCAGGCTTCATATAAAATCATACAGCTGGTGAATGAGACTGAGCCAGGTCAGACACTATAGACCTGGGAGGACTGGTGGTATGGACCCCTGTTGCTAGCATGTCACGCACCGTAGACTGTTTACAGAGGAACGAGGGAGACTACTGCCACTGATCTCCTGTTTGTATGACTCAATAAATGTCAATGGGGTTTTCCCTAATCCAATGGCATTCACATCATCCGAATGGGATTTTTAAGCACTTATCTCATAAGACATGAGGGTGATATGAAGTATAGGCTACACTATCTCTACAAACACAACTGACTGGCTTTTAAACAATGGGATGTGTGATTGAAAAACCAGAAACAGGTGGTGCAATGAAGATTAATGTCCACTGATTGGTCCACCTCAGCAGACACCCCAACGACCATCAATCAGGAACATACAGGACACCTGTGATTAGGGCAGAAGGAGAGGAAAAACATAGGGTACCTGTATCCGCAACAATATACAGTGGGGAAAAAAAGTATTTAGTCAGCCACCAATTGTGCAAGTTCTCCCACTTAAAAAGATGAGAGAGGCCTGTAATTTTCATCATAGGTACACGTCAACTATGACTGACAAAATGAGGAAAAAAAATCCAGAAAATCACATTGTAGGATTTGTAATGAATTTATTTGCAAATTATGGTGGAAAATAAGTATTTGGTCAATAACAAAAGTTTCTCAATACTTTGTTATATACCCTTTGTTGGCAATGACACAGGTCAAACGTTTTCTGTAAGTCTTCACAAGGTTATCACACACTGTTGCTGGTATTTTGGCCCATTCCTCCATGCAGATCTCCTCTAGAGCAGTGATGTTTTGGGGCTGTCGCTGGGCAACACAGACTTTCAACTCCCTCCAAAGATTTTCTATGGGGTTGAGATCTGGAGACTGGATAGGCCACTCCAGGACCTTGAAATGCTTCTTACGAAGCCACTCCTTCGTTGCCCGGGCGGTGTGTTTGGGATCATTGTCATGCTGAAAGACCCAGCCACGTTTCATCTTCAATGCCCTTGCTGATGGAAGGAGGTTTTCACTCAAAATCATCACGATACATGGCCCCATTCATTCTTTCCTTTACACGGATCAGTCGTCCTGGTCCCTTTGCAGAAAAACAGCCCCAAAGCATGATGTTTCCACCCCCATGCTTCACAGTAGGTATGGTGTTCTTTGGATGCAACTCAGCATTCTTTGTCCTCCAAACACGACGAGTTGAGTTTTTACCAAAAAGTTCTATTTTGGTTTCATCTGGCCATATGACATTCTCCCAATCCTCTTCTGGATCATCCAAATGCACTCTAGCAAACTTCAGACGGGCCTGGACATGTACTGGCTTAAGCAGGGGGACACGTCTGGCACTGCAGGACTTGAGTCCCTGGCGGCGTAGTGTGTTACTGATGGTAGGCTTTGTTACTTTGGTCCCAGCTCTCTGCAGGTCATTCACTAGGTCCCCCCGTGTGGTTCTGGGATTTTTGCTCACCGTTAATAATAATAATAATATACCATTTAGCAGACGCTTTTATCCAAAGCGACTTACAGTCATGCGTGCATACATTTTTGTGTCTGGGTGGTCCCGGGGATCGAACCCACTACCTTGGCGTTACAAGCGCCGTGCTCTACCAGCTGAGCTACAGAGGACCACGTTCTGTCCTCCTACAGAGGACCACGTTCTTGTGATCATTTTGACCCCACGGGGTGAGATCTTGCGTGGAGCCCCAGATCGATGGAGATTATCAGTGGTCTTGTATGTCTTCCATTTCCTAATAATTGCTCCCACAGTTGATTTCTTCAAACCAAGCTGCTTACCTATTGCAGATTCAGTCTTCCCAGCCTGGTGCAGGTCTACAATTTTGTTTCTGGTGTCCTTTGACAGCTCTTTGGTCTTGGCCATAGTGGAGTTTGGAGTGTGACTGTTTGAGGTTGTGGACAGGTGTCTTTTATACTGATAACAAGTTCAAACAGGTGCCATTAATACAGGTAACAAGTGGAGGACAGAGGAGCCTCTTAAAGAAGCAGTTACAGGTCTGTGAGAGCCAGAAATCTTGCTTGTTTGTAGGTGACCAAATACTTATTTTCCACCATAATTTGCAAATACATTTATTAAAAATCCTACAATGTGATTTTTCTGGATATTTTTTTCTCATTTTGTCTGTCATAGTTGACGTGTACCTATGATGAAAATTACAGGCCTCTTTCATCTTTTTAAGTGGGAGAACTTGCACAATTGGTGGCTGACTAAATACTTTTTTCCCCACTGTATATATATATATACGCATATACACACATATACATATACACACCCACATATATATACACATATCTAGTTCTCCAACTCCAAACACCTCATTTAGATAATTGTGGCCACATTGAAGACCATGATTGGTTGTGTTTCCCCTACTTATTGTATAGATGGGTTGTATAGATTGGGCGCCCCCCCTTCCCAGTTAGATAGGTGTGTAAGTGCTTGTCAAGATCGGTTTGGAAGAACTTGACTGGCCTGCACAAAGCTGTAACCTCAACCCCATCGTACACCTTTGGGATGAATTGGAACGCCGACTACGAGCTAGGCCTAATCGCCCAACATCAGTGCCCGACCTCACTAATGCTCTTGTGGCTGAATGGAAGCAAGTCCCCGCAACAATGTTCCAACATCTAGTGGAAAGCCTTCCCAGAAGAGTGGAGGCTGTTATAGCAGCAAAGGGGGGACAACTCCATATTAATGCCCATGATTTTGGAATGAGATGTTTGACAAGCAGGTGTCCACATACTTTTGGTCATGTAGTGTAGATACCAACAGTACCATCTCCTTGTGTAAAGCTTATTTACTACAGTTATTCATGAAATATTTATTTTTATTATGAAGTTGACTGTCTCCATGCCTCATTATTTTAGCATGTCATAAAGGAAAAGTTGAGGTTCTCCAGCATTGAGTGTTTCCAGTAAAATACTGTGTGCAATCTCCACAAGCAAAAGCAATGAGATGTCTCCTCTTTTATTGTCAAAGTCAGACCATATAAACCAGGCGCATATAAAACATTTGGTTTAAGCAAGAGGACTTGGGTCAATCATGATGACTTTGTGACTGGAAACCACAACATCTCCTTTAGTCTTCTTCTGGCCTTGAGAAGAAAGATCTCTCCCTGAATAGAAAAGACAGTCAGAGCACAGACACAGACTCCAAACTAAAGACGGAGGCTGCTAAGAGTAGGACAGCTCATAATAATGTCTGGAACAGAGCAAATGGAATTGCATCAAACGCATAGAAGCAATGTGTTTGATACCATTCCACTAATTCCGCTCCAGCCGTTACCACGAGCCCATCCTCCCCAATTAAGGTGCCACCAACCTCCTGTGCCACTCACACAGCCTGTACCAATACAAATATACTCCAAACTGTTGCACAGAGTAAACATGACAGCCTGGGCCTAAGCACACCACTCACTTTGCTTGTTGCACCTTTGTTCACAGGAGCCTGCTAGAGCGTGGCACACTGTTGCACGACAGTGGATGTACACCTGGTGAGACCGAACCATGTTAGAAATGAAATCAGCTGCATCTCTGGAGCTGATCAACAGAGCCTTGTCTACATTGATTTGTACCATGGTAATGTCTATATCTATATCCGGTCTTCATCCACCTGATTGTGATGCTTTTATTTATGTTTAAAGCACTCTGGGTGTGTGAGGAAGCACTATACAATATGTATAAAATAGATACATGTGTAAGCAATATGTTAATAGCTACACCTTGCTCTATGGTATGTTAGGTGGAATCTTAACCACCATCTTTACATCTATGCAATGCTCTCAGATCTACACAAGTGTCTATAGGGGTTCTGATGTGATTTGGAATTGGACTGCACTCATTACATTCTCCTGCAGGGGGACCATAGATGTCGGATCCACAAAGGTGAACATCTTGAAGACGAAGCGCTTGTAGTGGGAGAAGAAGTCTCCCGGAGGGATATAGGAGCTGTCCGAAGGGATGGGCACGGTCAGGTAACGGTCATCATGGTAGGGACACCTGGGGGGAGATGAACACAGAGAGAGAGAGAGTCATGGTGAGGAGCACCAGAGACCAGCTAGGACAGAACCTGGGGGGAAATTGATTAATCAGAGTACTATATTGTTCACAAACTTCAAAAAGAATAGCTGGATTTAGAAATGTATTTAAATTACTTGCTTTCAATTTTGAACATATATATAGTGCAAAGTTTAAAAAGTATAGAGTAGTTAGTTACCCATTAACCAGTAGGTCCCACCGGGGCAGCCTATCACCTGTGGGGTTTGTGGTGGCCCAGCACTGCTCCAGTATCAGGACAACGTTGGGATCTGTCATCCCCAGGATGCGAACCTCAGCATACACGGGATCCCTGAGGACCTTGGTGACTGGGTAGTCTGCCAACGTGTAGTAAGAGGTGTATGCTTCTTGCACTGTGGAGGAAAATCACATTGTTAGTGGATGAGTTCACCTTACAATATACTGTAAATCACTTAAACCACAAAGCACTTGGAAAAGTGATACATTACTCCATCATCATTAGGTTCATATCAGGCTTTTTCCCTTTATACTTTTTAAAATTATATATATATATAATTTTATTATTATTTAATCAGAAAATGTGCAATAAAAAAATATTAAGTGATGCAGATAAACCTGAACACCTGGTGAAAAAACTCACATGAACCCAGACCGTATACCTCATATCAGATACACAGGAACAATATCAAAACTAGGTCTTACCTTCATCACATCCTTTGGAGAGACATTGTCCATTGGCCAGTCGGAGCTCCACGTTGAGAACTGCATCAACAGTAACCATTGGGTTGGGGTTTGGATACATTTTCACCTCCATAAGCAGTGTCTCAACGGAAGTCCCAGTATACCGACACTGGAAGAGCAGGCTGAGAAGAAAGCAATATAGTCAGAGCTTTCAGAGAGACATCACATACCAAAGAAGGCAGAAGCGGCACATTTTCTGGGAATGGCCAATAAAGCCTGCAGGTATAACACGTTATGAGGCAGTAATGAGGTTATGAGCATGTACCCTCATGCTTTATAATAATCTCATAATGGTCCTGACTAAATACAAGCCATTGTAAGTCAGTTGAAATGTTGTTACATAGAGAGACAGAACACATTATTATACATTATGAATGTTCATACATGTTTTTAATAACTTAAAAAACATTATACCTTATCACTGTATATAAATGGCCATGACACCACATTCTAGGCAAATATCACCTACTCATAGTGGCTGTCCCTGGTGATGTCGCCGAAGGGTCCAATCCCCACTACATATGAAGAGGACAACCTGTTCTCATAGAAAATAGTACCTGGTTCCTCCTGCAGACAGATCATGTATCACATTGTGCAAAAGTAGAAAGAAGTACTTTATAACTCATTATATAGCCCAGGGATGGTCAACCCTCTTCCAGAAGAGCTACTGGGTAAGTAAGTCCTGCCCTGCTTTAACAAACTCCATTCTTCTAATCAGCTGCTCATTAGGACCTCGATTAGCTGAATTAGGTGCTAGAGCAACACTGGAGCTCTCTAGTTAAGATACAGTTTCATTGTACTGAATCCAAACCCTGGTCATACGTACCGTCATTACAGTTCCACAATCAGTGACTTTGAACTGATAGATGGTAAAGGCAGATGTGGTGCCGACAGGGGTGCAGTGATCTCCGTTTGTCCCTAGCAGGCTGATGGAATCTAGCTCCAGGTTGGGCAGAGTGGCATCCTTGGAAACCACCACCACAAACTGGCCATCCTTGGTACACTGGACAGTCACTGGTGACAAAGAGCATAAGAAAAACATGAAGTTAGTAGTCCTGATCGCTGAGTAAACTGGAACATTTTGGTGCTTGTTGATTGTTGGATACAAAATGGCCATATCTAAGTGGGTAAGTGTAAGTGGAATTGTTGAGATTGAAGAGTTCACAATCCAATTACTAGTTTTCTGGTAAAGAGAAAAATACTTGTTTCTCTGAGGGGGCAATACATTAAGTAAAATCACACTGTTACAACTTGGGAGTGAGAGTTCTAGAGTAAAATGAGCATGGTCTGACACCTACCTGCTTTCCCATAGAAGCACATCCGTCCATCAAAACAGCAGCTGATGGCCTGGCATTGGACAGCAGTGATGCCAGAAAGTCCACACGACACCTTGTTCTTGTCCTCAACCTCACAGGTCTGTTTTGTGTCGCCTTTGGTGTAGGGTATCAGTTGATGTATGGGTTCGGCAGGCTTCTGAGGAAGGGGTTGGGCAGGCTTCTTAGGAAGGGGTTGGGCAGGCTTCTGAGGAAGGGGGTGGAAAGGCCACTTAGGAAGAGGTTGGGCAGGCTTCTGATGAAGGGGTTCAGCAGGCTTCTGAGGAAGGGGGTAGGAAGGCCACTGAGGAAGGGGTTGGGCAGGCTTCTGAGGAAGGGGTTGGGCAGGCTTCTGATGAAGGGGTTCAGCAGGCTTCTGAGGAAGGGGGTAGGAAGGCCACTGAGGACGGGGTTGGGCAGGCTTCTGAGGTGGTTGGTGAGGCGACTTCCATTGAGCGTCACACAGACAGCCCAGCATGGCCACTGCCACGAGACTTATGACACTCCACTGCATGGCCATGGATTCAGAACAAGAGACAAGGATCACTGTGCCACTTTTATACATGGTGAGGTGTGTTGAACTGTTAAAAAAAACCCACCTCCTTGGCTGATCAATCATTCACATTCAGTCCTGTGGAATCAAGGCTTTCGACACTCTGAAGTCCCAAACATTTATTGACAAATGCAATGTTCTGGTCACATAGATCTCTGACATGCCTTTGACCAGAGTTGAAGGTCTTTGTGACCGTAACATTGTATTTGTTAACAAATGTTTATTTTGCAGGTACACACGGTCTGCAGGACTACACTCAAGAAGTAAAAAATAAATAAATAAATAATAATAATAATAGACACAAATGTATCAATTATATTCTATCTGTTTCTAATATAGCTAAATATATTGGCACCGTTGCACTTTTCTTAAATAATTCCCTATTTCTTCTCAAATAAGTTGACATTTAAAAAAAAATTGTCTCCACACATTGTTATTGGATTGTCAACATTACAGAACCACCAGAAAATGCTTATTGTAGCCATCAATGAGCTTGCTGCACCTTTCTAATGGCAATTTGACCAACTCTTCATCCACTCTTCAAACTGCTCCAATTGTTCAATGTTTGAGTGGTGCCTTCCACCAACTACTGTTTTCAGATCTCATACACAAAAGCTGAAGAACATACGCACATCCAGGTACTTTTTTGGAGGTGCTGGAGTTATAGGTGAAAAATATCTCACCATAGGTTTTTGATGGAATTCTGATCTGGACTCATCGCTGGCCACTCCAGAAATGTCCAGTGTTAATTTTAGAACCATTCCTGGGTGCATATTGATGTGTGTTTGAGTTGTTGTCCTGATGGAAGACCCAGAACCTTCAACAGAGCCCCAATAGGTTGCCAAAAACACCTTGATAATCTTCTGATTTCATTATGTCTTGCACATGTTCAAGGCCCCCAGTACCAGAAGCTGCAAAACAACCCCACAGCATTATCAAACCTCCCCATGTTTGATTGTAGGGAGGGTGTTATTTTCTTCTAAAGCTTAATTTAGTCATCTGTAAACATACCACTGATCTGTATTGCCAAAGAGCTCTAATTTTGTTTCAGTGGTCCACAGAACATTTTCACAGGATTTAGACTTGTTTAGGTGGGCTTTTGCAAAGTTCAATGGGGCTTTCTTGTGTCTCTTTCAGCAGTAGGGTCTTCCTATAATGTTTACCAACTACCAAATGAAGCATTCAAAGAAAATAACACCATTCCTACAATCAAACATGTTTAAATTATTGTTTAATTATGTTATTTAACCTTTATTTTATCAGGGAGTCATACAGGAAATACACAAAAATATAAATACAAAAATATAAATACAAAATGCAAGCAAAAAGAAAAACACAAATAACAACCACATTCAACAGTAATAAGGTCCTCAATCAGCTTTCTGAATTGCCCTAGAGGCACCAAAACATCACATTTAAGATTGTTCCACAAATAAGGTTCAAGAAAACTAAAAGCTGATTTATCTAACTCAGTAGAGACCAAAGGAATTTCCAGAGTTAGCCATTCATGAGACAAGGTGTGGTAACTCGTATGTCTAAAGTTTAGTAATGATGTTAGGTACAGTGGGACTTTTTGAAAAAGGGCTTTATAAATGAAAACATAGCAATGTATCAACCTACGTGACATCAGAGAGGGCCAACCAACTTTCTGGTAGAGAATGCAGTGATGAGTACTAAAATTGTCGCCCGTAATAAAGCACAGTGCTATATGATAAACTGGATCTAACGGCTTTGATGAAGTGTCAGCTGCGTTCATATACAGTTGAAGTCAGAAGTTTACATATACCTTAGCCAAATACATTTAAACTTAGTTTTTCACAATTCCTGACATGTAATCCTAGTAAAAATTCCCTGTCTTAGGTCAGTTAGGATCACCACTTTATTTTAAGAATGTGAAATGTCAGAATAATAGTAGAGAGGATGATTTATTTCAGCTTTTATTTATTTCATCACATTCCCAGTGGGTCAGAAGTTTACATACACTCAATGAGTATTTGGTAGCATTGTCTTTAAATTGTTTAACTTGGGTCAAACGTTACAGCTAGCCTTCCACAAGCTTCCCACAATAAGTTGGGTGAATTTTGGCCCATTCCTCCTGACAGAGCTGGTGTAACTGAGTCAGTTTTGTAGGCCTCCTTGCTCGCACACGCTTTTTCAGTTCTACCCACACATTTTCTATAGGATTGAGGTCAGGGCTTTGTGATGGCCACTCCAATACCTTGACTTTGTTGTCCTTAAGCCATTTTGCCACAACTTTGGAAGTATGCTTGGGGTCATTGTAATATTTTAAATTTTTAATTTAATTTGTCCATTTGGAAGACCCATTTGCGACCAAGCTTTAACTTCCTGACTGATGTCTTGAGATGTTGTGTCGTATCGAGTAAATGCTGGCAATTATTGCTGATGAACAAAGGAGTCCGCTCATACTGAACCTGGATCATAAGTTTTATTCATATCGCAAGCTTTCAGCATGAGTTACAGACTTGCAGGGTCTGGAGAGCAGTGTCCTCGAATTCTAATGGCTGCTCTGCTTTCCTGTGCCCCCAGCATATACTTATAAACAATGTGAAAATATGGGTGGCTCCCTCTGCGGTCCAATCACCCGTCTCCCCTGGGGCGTCACCCTACAACTGCTACTTTTGAACTAAGATAAACATATTTTCTTTGTCCCTCTAGAATAGTCATAATCTTTAATACACTACATTTCCCCCCTTCGAGACTAACTAAAAGTCTCGAAAACAAACAGAATAGGATTATGACCAGTAACAATTTATCTTATTGAGTATCTTTAACCTTAAACCAAAAAACATTCTTCTCTAGAGTGTATATACCTTTCTATGAAATATGAATAACTGTTTATGAAGTGTGAATACATTACTATGAAATATGAACAAATCTTTATGAAGTGTGAATACATTACTATGAAATATGAACAAATCTTTATGGAGTGTGAGAGCGAAAAACTGTCTGTCAACCTTCATTCCAAATCCATCCATCAATCAAGACAGTAAAATTCTCTCACGGTCCCTCTGCCCCAGGCAACCACCTAGGTACTCCCGATAAACTCATAAATCCCTATCAATGCATTTGAAACTATGATGCAATTAAATACACATGAAAGCCCCTGCAAACAAAATACTATCCAAAAAATGTCCACTCTAAGGCTGGTCAACCCATTGGACCCTACAGTGGACCTCTCCCTGCCTAGACTCCCTGTCCCTAAGCATTCACGAAATAAACAAAAACATCTAAGATCCCCACATGTATCCAATAACATCAAATATCATTCTACAAAAATTAATACCTAAGACTATGACACAAATTATGTATTACACATGCAAATATGTCTATATTTAATTGCAGACACTGGAATGTAGTCCACTACACTTCATCTCCTCCGTAGTCTCCTCTTCCAATGCATTGTTGATGATGGAATCGGAATCTTTACACACCTTCTTTGTTCCATCTCCTCCAGTCATTGTCCTTTCATATTGTCCCTTCATATTGTCATTGTTTGAGTATTTCAATCTCCACATATTCCCCCAAATGCTTCTGGAAGAAAAGAAAAGACCAAACAGTATCTTTTGCAAAACAACACTTTCAAAATTAAACATCAATATCAACTAAGAATATAAAAATTATATATAAATGATGTATGAATCAATATAAATGATAGAATAATGAAATAGGATAATATGAAATAGGATAATACGATTCATTCATACACTTCCCCCCTTTGATTCATACAATCATACTAAAATCACCCTAATATTGAAACAAAATTGAAAAATGATCAAATAATCAAAAAGGATATTTATCATCCAGTCCCACTTGTCCATCTTCATCCAGATCAGGAACAGTCAACAACGGCATCTGAGTGTTGTGTCCAGGCATCACTACTCCAACCTATCTCAATATCATAGCTTTCTCAAAGGTCAGTAACATATTACAAACATCACACACAGTGCTACCAAAGCTGCTACTAAAATGTAATCCATCACTGCTCCTACTGGCCTAACTGATCTTGCAACCAAGTCTTCGCTGACCATCCAGCTCCTTCAGATCTACCAAATGCATCCCTTATATTCTTCAATGCATATATAACCCTAGTGATAATATCTGAACTATCTGGACTCAAAGTATAACTAATATTATCAATATGATCTTCCCAAATGTTACACCATACCATGGAAAAAGTCCCCCCTTCTCCCTTAGATTTATCCTTCAATGATAGGCTTGAAGACTATGACATGTCGCCATGTCTCTTTTCACCCTATTTTCAACCCTAGATTTATCTGTGTCCGGTGCTACCCCTCTTTTAATGGTAGAAACCTCATATGGAAGCTTCAACGTTGACATGTAACAACATCCTATCCATCCATAGGGTAAGAATATATATGCTTCATCACCACAAACCCTCCAAATATCTCTAAAATTCCCAATAGTCACATTGTCAGGCAAAAGCTAATCTTTTAACCCTCAAAGTCCTGCTCTTCTTACTAACTTGAACATGAAAAGTTACATTATATTTCTCATTACTACCCTTAAGGTCATGCATACCCAAAGTTATCATATAATCATCACAATCTGATATTCCCATAAACATACCCCTTACATGATATGTTTTATTAGAACAAAAACAACTTTTAGCCCTCAAGGGTTTCACCTCCAATGCTTCAGGGTTCGCTGTTAACTGATTTTTCTCCCCATCTAACAAATTCCCATAGGGTAATTCATTTAACCCAAGAACACTTAAACCTAGGCTTAAACAAATGTTTTGACAACGACATTATTTTATCTGTTACTGATTGTTGTTGCTGATACAACAGTCATGACAAAGCATAAGATTGACACATACTTGATAGAGGTCGAGCGACCGTCTCTAAAATGTTTGGCTGAAATTCTCAACAGACATGGATCCTCAAGATTCCTCCCTGATCTTACAGAATGAGTTAACTGCTGGAACC